GCTTGCGTATAGTTGAAGAGGGTTGCTCTCCGTCCGAGTAGATTGCTCCTGTTTGCAATCTCGATTATCACTCTGTATTATTGCTCCTTAAAAATATCCCTGAGCAGCTCTCGGTTCGACCAAGTAGCCACCGTCTTAACTCAACATCTCATCATCACTAGCCTTCCCAGTATCGTATTTACTCAATCCATCAGTACTAACAAGTTTCTATTCCTTTCCTATAGGGAAGAATCCCAATAAACTTCACAATATCACGTGAAACCATAATCACTGTCACCATATTTGGTGAACACCACACTACAGAGTGCTCTGAATTCACACCTCTGAAATCCTTCTCTTGTCGCCTCACATCTTATATCCAATTTGATATATTATTGTTCGCTTACAAGTACTTGACATCACATGGCACATTTTCAGTTGTGCAGTAACCTAAGGCATCTCATCTATACCAGCAGTCACCCCAATATAGGATACTTCCTTGTATCATATCCTCATAGAAGATAACAATAGTCTCTGGGAACATAATTCAAACAGAAATAAGAAGAGTCTCCGAGCACATAAGCCGCATAGAGATAATCATACTCTCCGGGCGTACAGTTATGAGGAGCTTCTTAATTCTGATTTAATTTGCTACTAACTCTATTTCTCAATGAAGTGTTTGTCATCTTCAAAAAGGGAAAGATTGCTGAACCATAGGTTTTCAAGCTTATATATTTAAAGTTTTGATGATTATAAAGCACCAACAAGCTCAACATAGATGCACAAATTAGAAGGTAGTGCAACAAGTCTTAAATGAAGTTAGAAGATCAAGGCAACATGCAAAAATGAAGAAGTAATTTAAATGTGCAAAGTCAACATCAAAGTCAAAGTTTCCATGTGAAGAAAGATTCAAGAGTATATTGTTTGTAATATTAATTAAAGTCTTAGGAATGTTGAGAATTGAGTTTATTAAGCTATATCTCTCAAGGTTGCATTTAGAATATTTGATTTGAAAGAAGATTTAAAAGTTTTATTTTTAATCCAAATAGATTTTTTGAATGATTTGATTTGGTTTGGTTTTGATTTGAAAAAGAAAAAGTTAATTTGATATTAATCTTTTTAAAAGAATTGATTTGATTTGGTTTTTGATTTGAAAAATAAAAAGTTAATTTGAGATTATCTTTTTTGAAACATTTGATTTGATTTGGTTTTTGATTTGAAAAGTAAAAAGTTAATTTGAGATTAATTTCTTTTTTAAATATTTGATTAGATTTGATATTTGATTTGAGATTGATTTTCTTTTTGAAAGATTTGATTTGAGTTTATCTAATTTTGGAAAGCTAATTTGAAGATTTTGATTTTATTTTCAAAAAGATATTTTAGAAAGTTTTCTTAGAAATCATGATACAATATCTAGTGTATAAATCTAGAGATTTTTCCTTAGGATTTGATTTTGAGAAAAAGTCTATAAATACTATACCTTGATTTTTCCTTAGGATTTTTCAAGAATTAAGAGAGAAACAAGTTTTTACAAAGAAACATCTCAGAATTGCTAGATTCAAAGATTAAACACCAAGCAGGCTATATTTTGCATATCTTGAGAGAGAGCTCAATATCTTCTTCTTTTCATCTTTTTCTTTTGGTTTCTGCGTAATTCTGAATTTGGAGAGGTTGTTCTGCTGTGACTGTTTCAATTGGAGTGATCCTAGGGTATAGGTTAAGAGTGATCAAGGGATGGATCATAGTCTTGTAAAATTCCAATTTAGGTTTGGTTCAAGGAGAGTGATCCTAGGTTTAGGTTAAGGGTGATCGGGTAGATCACAGCTCTTGTAAAATTTCTCTTGTAAAACAATTTCTTCAAGCACCGGTTGAAATCTTAATGATAGTGGAACGATCGACCTCAGTCTCGATGTAGCTTTCATTGGTGTAGAGTGAACCAGGATACATCGCGATGTTATCTTCTCTTCCCTTATCTTTAAATTTTTCGCTACATAATACTCTTTTTTTATTCAATATTTTTGATAATATGAATTTGTTTAAGGATTGAGAATTTTTTTTTTTGAAAAGCAAACAGGAAACATAAAAACAAAAAAAGAAACTAGGAACACCTCCTAGACCAAACTACTCCTACATAGTCCCTTTCAAGGATTGAGAATTTTTGTTAATTGTTAAATCTCTCTTGCATGCTTTCTTGAAAAAAGGGTTTTTAATTTTTTTGTCATTTGCAAAAAATTTAAAACACAATTCACTCCCCTCTTGTGTTGTTATTTAGCCATTCTTTCTTTACACACTATTATATGCATAAAGCTTAGCTTTCTGAAGCTCTTCCATTTCATCTTTTGATATAATTCTAGTACCAAAAAAGGAAAGAGGAGGACGAGTTACACCATGAAGCTCGATTGCAACCCTAGATTCCCATGAAGCCCTTCTCCTTAATCCAGCAGGCAGGGAAGGTACCAGAGTCCCTTTATCCGCTATAACCACTGCTTTTGAAGTTGTCCCACATGAGATCTCGGCTTGTGAGGCAGGTGTAGCTTTGGATCTTATCACGCTTGTAGTTCCTCTATGAGATCCAAAACTGAAGTGGTTGCAAAAAGGTCTTTTGTTTCTTGGACGCTGGCTCTGAGCGGGAGGCTGATTTCTTCTTGAGAGCCAATATATAAACCGACTCCTCTTCCATATGTGAACCTACAATACAAAGAATAGAGTTGTAATTAGACAAGAATTCAAATACCTCGGTTAGAGGGTGCAGTAATTAACATGAATGTAATTAAACATAGCATACTAGATGGTTTGCTTGTGCTAGCATGTGCCTTAGATACAAGGGAGGCAGCGCTAACTTGATTGTGTTCCTTTACATTATTCAGTAAGGCCTCAACAACGATCTTGTCATCTTTTGAAAGTTTTAATTTGAGATCGGCCGCTGACAGCAGCTGATGGTCTTGAGACTAGTAGAGAGTAAACCTCCCTTTTACCCCATTTGGAGATACAAACTAGGGGTGTTGCCCAACTTCAGCAACAACCTTGAAGAATAATTCTTTAAAGTCCTTTAAGGAGTCAGTATATATAGAAAACAACTTTCTTCAAGGATGACCATAGATATTGGGACGACCTCGGATACTAGTCCAACCTTTCAACTTGGGTGCTTCAGACCCAGTTCGTGGGGTATAAACATTAAAGAAGTGAAGTAAAATAGATATGGTGCAGGGTAAGTTTAAAGATGAACATAACTGCTCAAAAGCTATTATATATGCCCAGCCATTGGGGTGTATCTGGGATGGGGCAAGGCGAAGGTGGTTTAAGAGGTCGATTTGAAACTCGAAAAAGGAAAACCTAAGACTGACCTTGGTAATTAGATCCCAGTAGAAAAAGAAGAAGAAATAGGCTCTACTAAATTCCTCTCTGAGCAGACAGGTTCATTCTCTGCAGAAGGGAATACGTTGAATCCAAACAGGTTACCAATAGGGAGCTCGGCTATGTCTTCAACACTCATGTTTGATCTGAAGCTCAAGACTTCAATGGTCACCCATGAGTATTGACTAATGAGTGATGTGTGGTGGTTTGTAATTGCATGTTAAACGAATCCAAAAGTGACACCTGGAAAGGCATCATCATGACTTATGAGGATTAGCAACCAACATCTGAAATATACTTAAAATGATGTGGGTAATTCAGCCAAACAAAGTTGAAGATACAACTTAGAGCCTTTGAATACTTATAAAGTTATAGGAAATGGTATCATCCTGGTTATACACACCAAAGATAAGGGTGAACTTGAAATAAAGCATCCCAATACTTTGAATACTCAAGCTATTCGGCTGGGGGAGGAGAAGGCAGTAACTACAATGGTATTAAGAATACGATTGTGGTTACAAATTGAACATAAAGCAAGCTTGGAGCAGAGCTTAAAAATAACTCTGCTAAAGATTAAAGATAAGAATACGATATTCCGAAATTTAACCCAGGTTATACAAGCAAGGCATCTAGTTACTGCAAGCTCAATAAAGATGTAATCTCAAATACATTGTGTACCCCAATAGCTCGGATGACTAAGCTATTGGGCTGGGGAGGCAATTGTTATGGACCTATATAAGGTCCATGTATCTAAAGGCCCAACAAAGGGCAATTACATGACAACTGTACAAGAGGATAAATGAGCTTATGCATAGAAGGTCCAGAACTCATATACCCACAGATAAAACTCTATTAATAGGAGGTAAATCCTACAAGTATGACCTAATCTCTCTCTTACTGTTATGTTATTACTGTGCACACACACCACCCCATTGACTTATGACGTTGTTAGTTGTGTATAGTGCTTCCATCTCTAGATATCTATTTCATAGATATCTTAGAAAGTGAGTTTGATCCCATATTAACTTATTAGTCTTGCGCTAGACATCTGATAGGCACCTTCCTCATGATTCCATTGATTCCATAGATCCGATTGTTGCTGGAGATGATATAGAAGATCAGAGAGTTGAAGAACTGAACTCAAATCACTAACGGGAAGAAAGGAAGAGAGAGAGAAGAACGCCTCAATGGCTCAGAGACTTTGTGATGATGACAGGTGTACGAAGATGAACTTGAGTTGAAGACAGATGGCAGAGTCGTTGGGTTAGGAGGAAGACATGTGGCTTAGTTGGTATTATCATCAGCTGATCCATTGAGAGTAATAGTGGCTAGTGGGCCACTGGTGTTAGGCCCATTTACTTGTTGGCCTGCAAGAAATGGTTATAATAACGGGCTACAGATGTAATATAGGCCCATAGTTAATTCCTTTTTGCAATTTCCAATTCTGTTGTTAAATAGGCAGTAGGGACCACAAGGGGGATCATCCAAAAATATCTTGTAACAAACTTCTTCTTCTCCTTGCTAAACCTTTCTGGAGTTGCCGGCGTTCTCGAATTGCCGTTGATCAATATCAATTTCATTACGTTTTCTTCTTTCATTGTCACTGTTAGATAGTTAACACTATCATTTGGTGCTCTTTTCATTGAGAGTTGACTAACTCAAGTAATATGGCAGAAGGAACTCGTTCTTCAGTGAAAACAAATATGATGGAAGAGTGTGTTGCCAAGCTTGCTCGTCACGAAGAGCAGTTCAGTGCATTTGGGGATCTACTCCAGAGCATGAACCTAAAATTAACATTAATGGAGGCTAAGTTGGATCAGAATCAAAAGAACAAATCTGAGCATAAGAGTGGAAGCAGCAGTGAAACCGGATTAAATACTTTCTTTGGAAGTAATGCATATAAATCAGTGAAATTCACAGTACCTAGATTTGCAGGAGGGAATCCTGAACCATGGATTCACAAAATTCAGCAATTCTATGGATTCCACAATCTGAACGATGGGGATAAGCTCACACTGACGTCTTTTCAGATGGATGGAGTGGCTGAAAGCTGGTTCCATTGGATGGATCGAAGCCAAAGGTTGACGACTTGGGATGCCTTTATTGTAGCGTTACGCTCCCGGTTTGGACCTTCCAAATATATGGATCTTCGGGGTGAATTGGGAAGGTTGTCACAGAGAACCACCGTAGAAGGATATCAGAAAGAGTTTGAACAGCTGTCCAATCAAATAATAGGAATCGATGATGTTACCTTGCAAAGCTATTTTGAGAATGGACTCAAATCTGAAATTAGAAAGGAGGTGAGGATGTATCTTCCAGAATCATTACAGAATGCCATCGAATTGGCTAAAGTGGTGGAGGACAAGCTGAATGATAGAGTGCCTGCACTAGTTGGATACCAAAAATTTGTTCCCAACAACCAGAGACAGCAGCCAGGCCTGCTACCAACTCCGAATAGAGGGGTGGTCAATACTGCTGGAAATCCGAGAGACACTATGCCGATTAAAAGGCTGTCAGCTGCAGAGATGATGGAGAGAAGAGAAAAAGGGCTCTGTTATTATTGTGATGAAAAGTTTAACCGCAGCCATGTATGCAAAGGGAAGATGTTCTTACTGCTCATTCAAGAAGATGAAGAGGAAGAAAAGGATGAGGAATTTGAAGTCACCAATGAAAAGATAGGGGGTGAAGAGGAAGTACCTGGTATTAGCCTCCATGCTATGGATGGGCAGTACTCTTCTAGCACCCTACGATTGAAGGGACTCATCAACAAGAATCCGGTTCAAGTTCTGGTGGATGGAGGTTCTACTCACAATTTTGTGCAGGAGAGGATAGTTAAGTTTCTGGGGTTGGAGGTGAAACCGATTGGCCAATTTACAGTATTAGTAGGGAATAGGGCCAGTTTGATTTGTAAAGGCGTTTGCCAACAGGTAGGCTTGGAACTACAAGGGTATAAGTTTTTCCCTGACCTGTTTGTCCTTCCTATTCAGGGAGCCGAAGTGGTGCTAGGGGTCCAATGGTTATCTGAATTTGGGGATATCACCACTAACTACAAGCAATTGGTCTTGAAGTTTGAGAGGGAAGGAGAGGTGATTGAGTTGCAAGGAGAAACCAGAATGCAGGTGGAGCCAATTGAACTACATCAGCTTCGAAGAATGACCCACTCGGATGCCATAGCTACTTATTTCCAGTTGCAAACCATTGAGCACCATCACATGGAGGAACCTGAGGTGGAAGAGAAATGCCACTCCTTAATACAACCAGTTCTGCAAGAATTTGAAGATGTTTTTTCCACTCCCAATCAGCTACCACCTACACGGTTGGAAGATCACCGTATCCACCTTGAACCTGGGACAAAGGCAGTAAATGTCAGACCATACAGGTACCCTTATTTTCAAAAATCTGAAATTGAAAGAATGGTGAAAGAAATGCTTGAAACGGGTGTCATCAGACCTAGCTTAAGTCCATTTTCATCACCAGCCTTATTGGTAAAAAAAAAGATGGGACTTGGAGATTCTGTGTAGACTACCGAGCACTCAACCAAGTCACCATACCCAACCGATTCCCAATTCCTACAGTAGACGAGATGCTAGATGAGTTAGCAGGGGCAGTCGTTTTTTCCAAGATGGACCTGAGATCAGGTTACCATCAAATACGGATGGCTCCGGAGGATGTTTACAAAACCGCTTTTAGAACACACCAAGGACACTACGAGTTCATTGTAATGCCCTTTGGGCTCACTAACGCCCCCGCAACCTTTCAAGGAATTATGAATTCCATTCTGAAGGAATTTTTACGCAAGTTTGTCATAGTATTCTTTGATGACATACTAGTATACAGTAAGTCATTAAGGGAGCATGTAGGACACTTACGCAAGGTTATGGCATGTCTTAGACAACATCAGTTGTATGCCAAAAGGTCAAAGTGTGCTTTTGCCCAGGAGGAGGTGGATTATTTGGGTCATATAGTGGATGCTAAGGGAGTACGGCCTGATGTGGGAAAAATTCAAGCCATCATGGAATGGGGTAAACCATCCAATCTTAAATAGTTGCGCGGATTTCTCGGGTTAGCTGGCTACTGTCGAAAATTTGTTAGGGGGTTTTCACAGATAGCAGCCCCCTTGACTGCATTGCTACACAAAGGTGACTTCATTTGGAATGAGAGGGCAGAACAGGCTATGAAGGAGCTCCAGAACGCATTGTCCAATGCACCTATATTAGCATTGCCTGATTTCACAAAGAAATTTGTGTTAACTACTGATGCTTCAGGTGTGGGAGTGGGAGCAGTATTAAGTCAAGATAATCGTCCTATAGCCTACTTCAGTAAAAAACTTAACCCCAAGATGCAACAAGCTTCAACCTACGTGAGGGAAATGTTTGCAATCACAGAAGGAGTTTCTAAGTGGAGACAGTACCTCCTCGGGGGACCTTTCATCATTAGAACTGATCAGAGAAGCCTCAAAGACATGATGAGTCAGGTTATCCAAACTCCTGAACAACAACGCTTTCTAGTCAAATTGCTTGGCTTTGATTACACCATTGAATACTTTCCTGGAGCTGTCAATAAGGTAGCAGATGCCTTATCACGGAAATCTGAAGGCGAAACACCCATTGCTGCAGAGGAGGCTTGTGCAATGGTCATCACAAAGGTCAGTCACAACCTGCTGGAACAAATAAAGGTAGAAGTTCAAACTAATACAGAGTTAATCCAGCTAAAAGACACTATTGAGCAAAGAATTGAAGGCTATGAACAATATAGTCTAAGGGAAGGACTAATTCTCTTCAAGGGGAGAATTACAATAGCCTCTAACTCTGATCTGCGCACGGTTATATTGCATGAGTTCCACTCATCATTAATTGGGGGTCATGGAGGGGTGAGGAAGACGTTACAGAGAATCCTTCCAAATTATCACTGGACCAACCTGAAAAAAAATGTTCAAGAGTTTGTTAGAACCTACCCAATTTGTCAAGTTACAAAATATCAACCACTAGCCCCTGTTGGCTTGTTACAGCCACTCGCAGTACCTCTTGCGATTTGGGAGGACTTGTCCATGGATTTTATCACTGGCCTACCCAATTCAGAGGGGAAAACAACCATCTTGGTGGTGGTGGACAGGCTCTCCAAGTATGCCCATTTCACAGCCCTACCACCTAACTTCACAGCAACGAAAGTGGCATCAGTTTTTGTAGAAAATGTTTGCAAGTTGCATGGTATACCCCGCTCGATTGTATCAGATAGGGACAGCATCTTTGTGAGTAAGTTTTGGTCGGAGTTAGCACGATTGAGTGGCACCAAACTTTGCTATAGCACTGCTTATCACCCTGAAACAGATGGGCAGACAGAGGTCACCAACAGGGGATTAGAACAATACCTGCGTTGCTATACAATGGAATAACCGAAGCAGTGGGTGCATTACTTACCTTGGGCAGAATTTTCTTACAATTCTGCATATCACACTTCAATTGGATCTTCACCGTTCCAGATTGTGTATGGAAGATCCCCTCCTAGCATTCCACCATATGAAGGAACCACCTCTTCCATTGAGGTTGTGGATGTGTTGTTGACTCAAAGGGATGCAATAATCAAGCAACTTCGTGAGACCCTACACCGAACAAGGCAAAGAATGAAAAATCAAGCAGATAAGAAGAGAAGGGATGTACAATTTGAGGTGGGCAATCTCGTGCTGGTCAAGCTTCAGCCGTACCGTCAACACACCGTTCGGAACCAATCTTTCTCCAAGCTCCGGCGCCGATTTTATGGCCCTTTCTCCATCACCGAACGAGTCGGCCCTGTGGCATACCGCTTGGCTCTACCTGAGGAGTCAAGGATCCACCCTGTGTCCCATGTATCCCTCCTCAAGCCATATCGCCAGAACCCCTCTTTCCACTCAGCTCCTCTTCCTCGCATGAGTTGGGATAACCATCCGGTAACCAAGCCAGTTGCTGTGCTTCGGACTCGGGCCTTACAGCATGGAAAGGAGGAAAATTTACAACTTTTGATACAGTGGGAAGGGTTTCCGTTGGAGGATGCTACATGGATCTCTTACACAGAATTTATTCAAGCTTTTCCAAGCTTCGATCTTGAGGGCAAGATCGCTTCTTCAAGAAGGGAGGGAATTGATAGGCACCTTCCTCATGATTCCATTGATTCCATAGATCCGATTGTTGCTGGAGATGATATAGAAGATCAGAGAGTTGAAGAACTGAACTCAAATCACCAACGGGAAGAAAGGAACAGAGAGAGAAGAACGACTCAATGGCTCAGAGACTTTTGTGATGATGACAGGTGTACGAAGATGAACTTGAGTTGAAGACAGATGGCAGAGTCGTTGGGTTAGGAGGAAGACATGTGGCTTAGTTGGTATTATCATCAGCTGATCCATTGAGAGTAATAGTGGCTAGTGGGCCACTGGGTGTTAGGCCCATTTACTTGCTGGCCTGCAAGAAATGGTTATAATAACGGGCTACAGATGTAATATAGGCCCATAGTTAATTCTTTTTTGCAATTTCCAATTCTGTTGTTAAATAGGCAGTAGGGACCACAAGGGGGATCATCCAAAAATATCTTGTAACAAACTTCTTCTTCTCCTTGCTAAACCTTTCTGGAGTTGCCGGCGTTCTCGAATTGCCGTTGATCAATATCAATTTCATTACGTTTTCTTCTTTCATTGTCACTGTTAGATAGTTAACACTATCAACATCTCTGTCACACAAATAGAACAATAATCAAGTTTTTTTTTAATTAAGATGAATTGACTATCAACCCATCAATGGTCATGAAACAAGATGAGTTTATATTTTCAACCTATTTTGCAAATTTAGATCAACCCATCGTGATCCATTGTTTGCCGATTTAAAGGCAGGTTGGATCAGATCGTGACGCATCGACTCAATTGCTAAAACTCTATTTATGCAGATTGCTCCTGACTTGTTGATTGATAAACTTAAGTTCAAACAAATAAAAGAAATGGTAAACACTTAAAGATAAGCAATAATTGGTCAATTTTGAGAAACACCGTGAAGTACGTCAACTTTGTTCCCAACCAAACATAAAATGCTGCCGACTCTGCAACAACAGAGCATTTGATTAGTGATTACTTAAAATTGTTAATCGTAAGTCTTAACTCAGGGAAGTGTACTTTTGTCTTTTTTGCCGAATGAACCTAATATTCCCTCCAATTTTGCATTTTCATAGTTTGTTTATAATATTTATACACCAATCCATTGACATTGATAATAGTCAATGTCAAACTGATAGACCCAGTACTCATTTCTTTGCTGGAACTACGCCTGCATGAATGACAATATATTCCATATTTTATGTCTCCTCTTCTCCGTACTTCCACGAACTAAAGTTGAATAGGAAAACTTCCGCAACGGTTTGTGACTTGTAGCATAAAAAAGGGGTTGACTTGTATGTAATTTTTTTTTTTTTTTTTTTTGGGATACACTTGTATGTAACTTTTTAGCAAAAGCCAGAAGCATAAAATTTGTTTCGATAAATTCGTACCGGCAAAGACACATGTGATTTTGACGTACGGTCAAACATCCAATGGGATACTCCATATTGAGAGAGGAATTGCAAACGTTGTATATAAAAAATGCAAGTAAAATATTCATTACTTTGCCGGCAAGACTTCCATGACTCGGAGACAAGCATAAATTCATGGGTGGGGACTGATGGTTTATTTTTTATTTTTTATACAACTGTGGTGTTACGCACTGTATGCCGGAGAACAAAATAAGAGAGTAAATTTAATATCACATCTCAACCCAAAACTTTAGATTTATAAGTCTTTCGTGTTTAACTTATTCCTTCTTGATGCGAAACTTTATCACTCATATTTGAATTCTCAATAAATTACATTAAGGGATATATTGAATTAGAATTTTAAAAGACTATTTCGAGATAAAAAAATCTTACAGATTTTAAAAGACTATCTAGAATTATAGTGACTTTACAAACTTTTTTAAAAGATTTTTTTTACAATCAAGATTTTATAAGATGGATTTTAAAGAATTTTAATAGAATTTATAATATTTGAAAGGACAATATGGATTTATAAGATTTTAAAAAAATCATATGAATTTTTAATAAATATTCAAAAATACAAGAGTTAATAAAAAAATAACAAAGAAATGCAATGATATTAAATCAAAAAAGTAAAACCTAATATAATTTCTCCAATCAGTAATTTGATGTAACTTGATGTCATACTAAGTAGTAGCTCTCCACATATCTATACCAGCCCTCCACACATTAGCTCGTTCATGCTCTTGGGTTTGACCAATGGGCTGAAAATTATCTTCTTCATTTGGTATTAGAGTTATGCATGCATATATGATTATAAGATCCATAATTTTTTTATTTTTTAAAATAATTCGAAATTTGCATGAAAGTCTAAGCTATGTATATGTGGATTGATATGGTTGGGGACCTCAAATTGAAAATGTGTATTAGATAAATATGTCGTAGAATGATATTTTATGATAATTGAACTCATAAAATTTATTGAGAAAAAATA